TTTTTTTTTTTTTTTTTTTTTTTTTTTTTTTTTTTTTTTTTCTGTCCTTAATATTGGATTTTGGCTCGTCCAAACTTAAAACATGTAAGTGGTGTACTTTAAACATAAGAATGTTCCTTTGGTTTTCAATTTAGAAGGGGCTCAAATAGTTTGAAAGATAACTACTAGTAGTATGATTTATCGAAGAGCGCACTTTACTTTGGATACCATTTTATCAAGAAAATTTCAACCTTACTTTTTACCTTTTCTTATTTTGTTGAAAATGAGAGATGAAAATAATGCTGATTAGAGCCATTTTGACTTTAAATCTACTTGCTTTTGACTTGCATGAATTTTATAATCGAATAGACATTTTTCTTATTGTATTGTTTATCGATACCTTTCCTTCACCTATTTCAACATTTCCTTGCATTTTTTATTGCTTGCGAAATAGATGCAAAGAGTTCTTTGTGAAAAACACTTTTTTTTTGGGTGGCCATTTAATTTAGTGATCCGACCATCTTTGCATGCCCACGAACTGGTTGCCGGGGCTTCGATATTCTCACAATTAATGGACAGTGGTTTTGTTTACTTTCGATAGTAATTTTCCGTCCTCTCTCTCTTTTTCTGTGACAGAAAAAAGGCTGAACAAAGACACTAGCTTGGTCTTTTTTATTTTCCTTGTACTTTGTACAAGGCGTGATTGTTATAGGTATCATAAAGTATAATACTGTAGCACGAGTAGAAGAAAGTAACCAGCAATATTATACCACAACATATGAAATTCTGACATGCACATTATATTGCATTCTTTTAACCCGCTCCTCAGCATTGCAAATTGCTTCCTTTTTCAATCATCACTTTGGATGGTTGATCTTTCTCTTGTGTCTTTTCTAGTAACTTTTTATTCTCCTATCTTATCAAATCAAAAAAACATAATTTTGCTATACCCCTACGTTAGTCATCTGTAAAACATAACCAAATCTTCAAGAAATGCGACAACAATATAATATATCCATGTGTGACTAACTAAAAATTAAAACATGACATATAAGGCACGTTTAAATATGTGCACGTACATACAACATTTGTTACGCCCTTGTTTTGGTTGTACAAGGGGTGCTTGTCGCTCCATTGTTTGTCTCACTTACCTTGTTATAACACATTGAGAGTACGTTCTATATAGTAAGAGTCCTACTGTTTCTAGGGTACCTTTTACGTGAAAGCTGCTTGCACTAGTTCCATATTAGTTTCAAAGTACTACTAATATGGATCTTAATCACTTTAATTGTAATGAGTTTGCAGCTTTATGTATGCAACTAGTTACTAAGCAAAAGGGCCATTTTCATTGTCACTGTTTTAGCTGTTAAAATTAGATTCGCTTGTCTAGGCAATTACAACATTCAAGTCCCGGGAAACTCAAGGGTTCCTAGTTGACAAATTGATGAACTAGAAATTTGGAAATATACTAAAAATATTAGGGTTTTGAACACTCCTTTAGAACGATGCAGCAAATGAACGTTGAGGGAATAGGATTCTGGTGCATTTGGTATGCAGAATATTTTTGGGACATAAGCCCTTTTCTGAAAAATATTTTATTCGAGAAATATTTTTTGGTCTTTAGTTGGCGAGTGAAAAATATTTTTGGAAGAAAAAAATACTCCACTTATTATAGTACTTGTCTATTACCTTTTACCATAACTTGATCACTTGATATGCTCTTTTCAGCGATTTCTCCTTAAGAAGTTGTTATAAATTATTTATATACCTCTAACCAAGAAAATTTCTAAATGATACCCTTTGCTTTGTAAATATTTTGCAGGTATGCGACCTATCCTCCTGATTATTATCACCAAGTGAGTACCCTTGCCCTTAGTCTTTCAATATTTTGAATTTTCCTTCTAATTTTACATTCAAACTAAAAATAATGAAAAAAGTTAAATGTATGATAATGACATGAGGGAAATTATAATGAACAGGGAATGTACAACCCACAGTACCAGCAAGCACAGTATTATCAGCAAATGTATGGAAGTTCATCGTCTCCATATTATTACGGATATTCCATGCAGGGATCAAGGGGAACATTTTCTGCTGCTCACCCCCAACGTTTTCAAGGCGGACCTGCAGCTTCTTATCTTTATTATCCTACTACTCCCTTGCCCGCCGATGCTGCTGCTGCTGCTTCCTTCTCCTCTTTCACTACCCCTCCTCCTCCTTTACTCCAACACCCTCCTCCTCCTGCCGCTACAAGGCTTCAATTTCCTTCTCCTACTACTGGTATGTCTCTTTACCGTAGAATTTAGTTTATGTATGCTGACAGTGTAAATAGTAGTCACGTTTACGCTACCAATGCATTTTAACATGTACTACTATTAATTAGTAGGTAGCCCACCTTATTTCTAGGTTACTGTTCCCACTTAAGGACGGTTACCTATAATAGTCTTCTTTTGAATGACTTATAATGTATAAGTATATAGAAGTTAAAACTATTTAACATCACATTTAAATGTCAGAGACAACATATTATGTAACTTGATTAAATTAAAACTACATAAATAGGTTTTTATTAGGTGAAGTTGCAGGAAGAAAATTATACTGTATATATTAGGGTTACTGTATATTATAGTAATAATAATAAGTGTTTAAATTTTATGCAACATATGGAAAGGTATTAGAGTAAATTAAGTTAGAGGGTATAAAGCGGGCCATGTGGGGAACTCTAAGCATGTGACATGAGCTGTCTGGGGAAGGCAGTGATCTATCAATGGGTCAAATGAAAATCATATGCCAGGGAGGCATTTCTGAGTGTAAAATAACAGTAACTGCATGTGAGAATGGTCATACAAATCTTAGACTAGATAAAATGCATGGTTCTAAATGGGCAGTGAATCAAGTGGCTGAATTTATATGAATTCCCACTATCCCTTAGAAAAAAATTGTGATATTTTAGGTACAGCATGGTAACTAGTGATCTGTTGTTTGTTCAGTTCATGTCCTCATCTGGGAGATTCAGTGGGGACCTTTTATTTCTTTCTTTCGTGATGTGGTGGACAAGATTGATTATTTAATTTGGGAAGACTTTTTTCAGTTTTTTCTTTTTCTTTTCATGAATTATTAATATCGCATAGGAAAACTAGAACATATTTAAGAACTCTTAGTTGAACTATGGAGATGAACATGTATGATTTAAATTGTACTAATAATTAGGTTGCAATTCCAATTATTGGGACACACAAATTGTCAGTAACATGTTTCATAAGTTTCCACGGACCTACACCTCCTATCGACTGTATATTTTGCAGCTGGTAGGAACTTAGGATTGAGTTACGCATCTCTTAGGTAACTGCTGAATATTTGTTATCCCACATAAATTGGAGTAAGAGTCCAACTCAACATAGGGATGTGCATATTTAGGGTAAAACCAATAATCCGAACCAAAAATCGTGTTATTGGTTTAATGGTTCGGGTTATTGTTTATTAGTTGTGTGACATGTTAGTGCTCTATGACCATTGAGATATGGGACTCGATTTTTGTAACACTGATTAATTGCGTCATATATAATGATACATAAAACTTAATACTCTTCTATGATTAATATATTGATATTTTTTGTACCACTGTAAACTGGCAGAATCACAGATTCCACAGCAGACCTCAGGAGAAACAACAGAAGCTGGGACTGTGACTACTGAGAGTCCAAACACATAAAAAGAGAGTACAAGCTCATCATCAAAGCATATTATAAGTCATGCATGGTGAAAATAAAAACAAATTGTACAATCTTTAACAAAAAATTAACGATGTCTCGTCATCAACCTCAATGACTTTATTTAAAAAATCTATCCATAATTTTTCTTGGTCCATGCTTTGTTATGTATCCAGCTGAATACTCAGAAGAATATTGATCTCAACAACAACAATGGCTGGTAAAGATGGACTACTCAGATACATGGCCACTTCCTATCTTCTTTCTTTATCTTTTTTATTTCCTTATTTCTTTTTCCTTTTAAACAAGGAAAACATTTCAATTGTTGTTCATTTATTTATTTTTCATTTTACTAAACATCCTTTATTACTGTACGAACAGTAGGACGGAAATATTAAGCCCTCAATAACGAATTATGACATATTTACCCCCTTATTAATTTCTTTCTTCATTATATTATTATATTCTTTTTTTATTTTTCCCTATATATGTAGTTATTGGTGTATCATTTCTTTATTTCCCTGTTTCTTTTAAGGTTGGAATTACCAAAAGTAAAAGACCAGAAATGAATAAATAAAAAATAGTTTATTAAAGACATTATGTGTTGTTTTCATCTTAAATCATAAGCAACTGCTGACTGAAATAAGGAGCTCTCTTTTACCCAATCCTGCGAAGGAAATGACTATTTCCCAAAGATAAAAAAGGTAAATTTAAAAAAAATTCCGGCAATCAATTATCAAAAATAACTTATTTTGTGAAAATTGTTTTCTGTCATACTAAACACACCCTAACGGAGTACTCATATTCAGCTGAATTAGATGGCAACCACAGGATACAACACCAATTCGTAATTGTAAGTCATAGCATCATAACGACAGACACAAACCAATTATCAGATCCATAGATGACCTTAGCAAGCCAGTTTCAATGTGAACCTCATAAGGGGTACAATTAATAAATTCTCTTAGAAAAAAAAAACTAATGGAGATTTCAAGTCATAGCATCCTTTTACGCCTTATAAGATGCACATACAAGATTTCTTTACGGGAATCAAAACATAAAAAAATAAACACACGAATAATTAATTAACAGAATTCAACATATAGTATATTCATATTAAAAAAATAATCTATTTATAGTACAATGTAATTTCCGACGAAGGGGTATTAATTTACTCCTCTTGACCAAGGATAGCTCTGCCCCTGGTGTGCCTTCCTACCTTTTTCACTAGGAAATTCCATGCGGAAGACTATAGCTTAGTAAATATTTCAAACTCAATGACACTTACATCCAAAAAGTAAGTGGTTCAGGTCATATGTAGCAAGGGAATGGGTCAGTTCATCGAGTTACTATTGTAACTAAGTTACCATAATCAACTAAACACGTAGTTATTTCATGGTTGACCGATGCAAGTTAGTTACAATATTCTTTGTACTAATGCCTGCTAATTGTGATACCTGCATTTCTCAAATTTATTCCACCACACTATCTCCACTTTTGTCAATTCAATTGAATCCACACCTACAACATAATTAAATACAGTTGGTTCGTCGATCAATCAAATTAAGCTTAACACTAACATATTTAAGGTTGCCTGCTTCCCAGCACACGCCTGTCGAAGAATTGACTTTTCTTTTCAATGTGAAAACCACTACTAATAAAAATGAGGATATGAACGTTAGTGAGAGATCCTTTTGTGATTTTCGGTCCTTAATTAGCAATTAGAGTTAATTAATCATCTCCCACCTGCAAAGCTACGACCAGGGGCGAATCCAACCTTATAGCTAAGGGTTCGGCAGAACCCACTAGCTTTGGCTCAAACCCTATATTTATGCGAAATTTTTTATTGACTTTGTATAAATAATTTATATAGAACCCAATAAGTAAAAAGTATTATGTTCCAGAACCATAAACTTAAAATCCTAGCTTCGCCTCTCGCTAGAACAGTAGAAGATGTTGAATTATCGAAGATGGAATAAATTAAAACATGTTACTACTAATTAAATGTTGCCACAAATCTAAATCCCACTGCAGTGAGGCTCATGCAATTTTAGAAAACCATGGGCCCCATAATTAAATCTATTACATTGCATACCATAAGGAGCTAAAGTTGACAAGCAGCTGAGATTAACTATCCCTTCCCTTAAAACAAATTAGAGAACAAATTAATGTTGTTTACATTCAATGACCAAACGCATTTTCTCCGGTGTCCTTTTCTCTGAATTTTCCCTCTTAAAGATAAACTATTGAAATTAAACCTAAGGACAAACATTCTCTCTTGGGGCTATAAAACACCTTGCATATCCTAGGATGCTCCATTCTTTTCACTCATACTAGGTTTATTAAAAGAAATATTTACACAAGAGATGGAACGCTTATATTTGGCTTCATCTTCTAGTGTTGAAAATCAGATTGAACCGTTTGATTTCTTCGCAGAAAAAACCCAAAATGCATTTGAATTCCTTAGCTTGTCTCAGCCATCTGAAAAAGAAATTAGACTATCAAATGATCAAGAAAACCCTAATTCTTGCCATTGGCCTGACAAAGAAGATGATGTGACTGTTGCGTTACACATTGGTCTACCAAATTTCAGCAAGGCCTCTACTAAAATTCCAACTGGTCATAACAAAGGAGATGCAAATATAGCAGCCACCAATTATTGGATACCAACCCCTTCACAAATCTTGGTTGGCTTCACCCAGTTTTCATGTCATATTTGTCACAAAACTTTCAATCGGTACAATAATCTTCAGGTGCATTCTTTCATGCCTCAAAACTTCATAGACACGTTCATTATTTTTTTTACATTACTTGTATTTATTATTGTCACTATTTTTAATGTCATCTCTACTACCAGAAATTTAATATAATCTGAACTTTCAATGATCTCATGTTTTTTTAATTATTCAACCATTTCATTTTACGAGCAGATGCATATGTGGGGCCATGGTTCGCAATATCGAAAAGGACCAGAATCACTTAAGGGAACACAACCAAGAGCCATGTTAGGGATACCATGCTACTGTTGTGAAGAAGGGTGCAAGAACAACAAAAATCACCCAAGGGCTAAGCCACTGAAAGATTTTAGAACACTGCAAACACATTACAAGAGAAAGCACGGGACAAAGCGTTTTGCATGCAGGAAATGTGGAAAGTGTTTGGCTGTGAAAGGGGACTGGAGAACGCACGAGAAAAACTGTGGGAAACGTTGGCTTTGCATTTGTGGTTCGGATTTTAAGCACAAGAGGTCGTTAAAAGATCATATTGCTTCGTTTGGTGAAGGTCACGGCCCTTGTCCTCCTAATTCTTTTGAAGGGGTTGAAGTTCAGAGAGCTGGAACATATTCTGTTTTCGTTTAATGAAATAAATACTAACAGGAAGTTTTTGCTATCCTTTTTGTTGCCAGTAAGCTGTTCTTATAAATTTTCTATTTGTTGTGTGCCTAAAGAATTGCAGCTTACTGCCAAAAACGTACCGAAACATATGCTTTTTTTTTTAAAAAATAATAAGAACCGTAAGTTGAACCAATAAATAGGAGATTCGACTTGTGTGAGGAATGTAAGAGGAACACCGTTTATATATCTCCTTTGGATGGAATGAAGGATCAAAAAATGAAATAAGAACACATAATTTAGTGCTTTTTCTGTTCCACAATGTTCAACACTTTTCACTTTTCGCAATCCAAACTAAGTGAACTTTGACTAATATTCTTGTACATGCACCAAATACATAGACATGCGGCATACATATACATTTATACACAACACACAAATACAGACAATTTCTTAATGAGAAATTACAAGTTATAGTGGTATTTTTGTATAATTATGAGTTTTTAAAATATAAATTACAATAATCGAGTATTTCTAAAAGTTAGACCAAATTGACTCTTGATAAACGAAACTTTATTTTCCATATCAGCTTTATGTATAAGTTATTTTGGATGGAGTTGCAACCCTTCCCTTTTCAACTTTATATACCAGTTTTGTCATTTTTATTTGTATATCCTACCAAAACTTACTATGCCTAATGATTTTTATGAATTTTTTCCCTACTGTTTGATGTTTTATACTTCAGTACCACACAAGAGGGGGAGGGGAGGTAATTTGTGTGGTGTCCAATTTTTCACGTGCGCAGATTGTAGAAGGACCCGGTTCTTCTATGCGTTCCTTATACTACTGTTGCGGAATAATAAATACAGAAAGTAAAGAACACAAGTATTTTACGTGAAAAACACCCGACTCAAAGGTGAAAAAACCACGACCTACTACCTAGTAGGATTTTTTCCAACACTTCACTAAATCACTGAGCCAAAAACAATATTTACAAAATTCTTTGTAAACCTAAGGATTACCTCTAACTCTGTCACGACCCTGGTTCGCCCTCCATGAACCATCATGACGGCACCTAGTCTCTACGACTAGGTAAGCCTAAAATGCGGAAGATAAACCAATTTACGGAAGAAAATAATTTAAAACAGAAATAGAGTAATAAAACAGCGTTTAAGAGTGCCGCTCGACATACACAATATTTAACTCTAAAAAACTAATACATATTCCCAAAACCCGAAAACCCATGAATCACAAGCTAAGGATACTACATAGTGCTCTAACTCCAGAATAGTCTAAAACAAAATAAATACAGAAGGGTTGTAACTACAAGAGAGAATGGAGAGAGACTCCTCGATCTGCAGATGCGACAAATATATCTCGAAGTCTCCGGAGGGTCGCCTCGCCTGAAGGATGGTAAGTCTGAGTCGAAGTACCTGGATCTGCATATGAAAAACATGCGCAGAAAGGGCATGAGTCACCACAGCGGTACTCAGTAAGTGCCAAGCCTAACCTCGGTCAGGTAGTGACGAGGAAGGTCAGAGCCCTACTAAGATTAAATAAATATAGAGATGACAAAATAAGATAAGCAGTACAATTGAGAATCTACAATAAGAATTTAATACATGATAATAAGGAATACAATACTGAAACAGAGATAAAGACAATCACAAGGAAATACCACTCATAACAAGGATGATAACCGGGGATCTCTCAGTATCCTCAATATATATATCGGGAATCTCTTGGTATCCCGAGGATCTCTTGGTATCCTCAATATACGTGCCAGGGATCTCTTGGTATCCCGCACCTCAGTTCAAATCATAAATACGAACAGGGGATCTCCCGGGATGCCGTCCCGTAGTCGCAAAGTAAAAGACACAGCAGCAACACAAGAATACTCAATTAAGCTCAATTTTGTACCAAGTAAAACAAGAAATTCTAATTTAACATGCTTCACATAATTCAATTAAGGCGGTTTAAGCAAATAAACAGTTAAGTCAATTAGACATGCTTTTTCTAAGCTAACAGCAGGTTTAAATTGCGTAAATTGAAACAGGAAAATGAACACAATTGAAATTACTTAAAGAAAATTGGATTTTCAATAATT